AGGATGTATCCATGTTAAATATATATATAAACCTCCAAATGCCACATGTATTCCAAGCATACTGCCTACCATTAACCATCCAGTGGCTTTCACCAACAATTTTAACAGCCGTCTCAAAACTTGGGGTTACACAGCTGACAACAACTGTGGAGAACAGGTCACTGACTGGGTAATAGGAGACAACCTGTTCCTTCTGTTTGATGCTAAAGATCGAAGCACCTTCCATTCCACACGATGGAGAAAAGATTCAAACCTTTATCTATGTTTTGTCACATGTGATAGCTCGGGTGAACCATTGCGTGCTTCAAGATCAAGCCACTAATATTAGACTAGGCCAAGAATGAATAAGTGCTTTTTTGGAAAAGTGTGTAACAGCAGGTAAAAATAACAGCTGATGTTTTGCCTTTTGATAACAATTGAGTTGTATGTAGTCAGCTAATTTTTTTAACCTGCTGTCATCCTAGGCCACTTTCAAGGGACTCAACTATGTTGTAGCAATGTGGCTAAAGCAGATCACAAAGCCTGTTACAGAGTGAACCTTTACTAGTGTTACAAGTGTCCTAGGCAGAATAGTTAAAGAAACAGAATATGGCAAGTAGCATCCCCAGATGATGAAGGAAAAAGATAAGAAGCCCTCTCTCCCAGAACTATACTTTTCACAAGGACACAGACCCCAGTGAATTCGCCTCTTCCAAATCCACAGGAAAACTGGTTCAGTCCAGTTTCTAAAGCCTCAATGAAACAAAAACATTTGAATAGAACCAATCAGAATATTTATTTAAATAACCAACATATAAATATTTGGTGTAAATGAGGAGGTGGAAATTTGGGGGACGGCTCCAGTAAATTCAAGAAAACCTGCTGCCAGTCTGCACTTTACCTTCCTTCTCCATCTCCCCCCTGCCAGTATAGGCGAGAATCTGTATTGCGTTATTGCGGGTAGCTAGCTAGATATGCATAAAATCTAGTGTTTATTCTGATGCTTTGGGCTGTAATCAATAAAAGACTGGGTTATAGACCTGTCTCTTGCCTCTTTATATGACTTGGGTGGTAGTAGTGCTTTACTTGCCAAAAAGGAATGGAGAATCACTGGGAAATATGCTTGTATCTTGATCTGGTGTACAACAAGGGTAATCAGTGGGGGAATTGTAACTGTCCTTGAATTCTGTATCTAAAAGAAGACTTAACTGTAAGTGAGTTATAGCAGGGGTTGGCAATTATTTGGGCTGGAGGGCCACTTAGTGGGGTTTGGTGAGCTGTTGTGGGCCAGATCAGCACCCTGGTACCAGGACCGCAGGGTGGTGACAGCATGGGACCAGGGCCTGGGGTAAAGCTGCAATTCGCTTCCTGCACACCCCTGCCTGTGGAACCAGTGTGCGTCACAGGTACTTAGAGCCAGGATCAGCTGTCCGTGTCCTGGGCCTCAGCCCCACGCTGTCATGGTCCTGCAATCCCGAGCCCGGCCCTGGCCCTGACCCCACCCAACTGTTCTGCTTCTGAATGCTGGGGCCCCATCCCATCTGCCCGGCTGAGCACACCCTGCCCAGGTGGGTCCTGCGCTCGTCTCCATGGAAACCCCACCTGCCCAGTGTGTTGCCTCTGGCAGTGGGTGTAGGGCAGAAGGGCCGGGGTGTCTGGGTAGCAGGGCCAGGGCTGGCAGTGGCAGAGACTGGCAACAGCAGCTGGAAGGGTATGCCTCTGCAGGGGCTGCCAGGTAGAGAGTCTGGTTGCCCTGCTGACTGAGCCCTACTGCTGCCTGGGGGCAGCAGGACCAGCCGCACATGCCATGGCCCCCGGCTGCTCTCTGTGCCTGGGCTGAGCTGGGCTGAGGGACCTGCCATGGGGAGGATAATTTTATTTGCCCACCCTGGGCTGTATTTTGTCCACCCCTGGGTTATAGTCTTGTATCTCAAAAGACTGAATGGTATCTGGTTTTCTGTAACATCTTCCTCCCTGCCTCCCACCCCGCTACCCTTCTAAGAACTGAATGAGAAACCTGGGAGAGGTTGTGACAGGATCATGTGTTCTTTGGTTTATACAGGTTCCTCC